AATTGGCTGACAGCCATGTTAGGCTTACAAAGATGCATTGCAGTTTCATGGCCTTTCCGTGCACAACGAATTTGTACAATCAAAATGTCTGTCATATCTTTTTTCGTTTTCATTGCTGGATCCAGTGCTGTTTACATCAACGAAGCTATATCAATCGAGATAAAACCACTCACAATAAATGCATCTTTACCAAGAGGGTGCCTTCGAAGCATTCCAACGTGGTACACGGAAAACATCATAGATTTGAGAATGTCTGTTATGATGTATTATATCTTCAATGGGTTCTTAACAAGATTTCTGCCAAGTATTGTACTTTTACTTACGACCGTATCTCTCATAAGAAGTCTTTGTTTTAGACCAAATGGAATGGGCAAATCTATACAGGATTCTTACTCTTCAAAAAGCAAACTTCGGAGAACTAATACTCTAGTGCTAGTTATTCTGTTTGTGTTTCTCATTGCAGAATTACAAGATGCAATTGCATTCTGTATATATTCTTATGAAATGGCAGTGGATAAACCGCGTTCGGTTTTAGCGGAAGGTGCTGATGATTTATGGGATATTTACGGTATGGTTGTCACATTAGTTGGATATCAATGTATATTCTGGATCTTTTTCTTTATGAGTTCTCAGTTTAGAGCAGCATTGAAACAAGTAATTTGCAGGTGCAAGAATAAACTTTCTAGAGATGATTCAGTACGTGTTTCTTTCATAAGAAGTAGTACACGATCAGGCAATAGTGGCGCACACTAACTTTTTATGTCCGCATCAAACACATGGAAATTCACTGGGTAACAGGGACTCGTACACTATTGTACACTATTACAAATGGATTGATTGGTTAAAAAAAAAATGTACATACATGTTTTCATTAACTACAATAGGTCGCGAAAATTTGTGGTTACATGTGCCTAAATGAACAGTCAGACTCACAGGCACTTCGGTACATGATTTGGATAAAAAAATCATTGTTTGGGATGAATATTCAATTTTCTTTTTTATACTACAAACTTAACACTACTTTACTTGTCTTACCTTGTTTTGAGTGAATTTATCCATTTTGATAAAATCCCTTATTCTACTATTAATACTTACTAAGGCAACGTTGTTTGAAAGCATGGATAGTGAAATAAGTGATCAGACGCTATGAATGCATCTTCTTAAGCCAATTGTTTATTTGTCAATTTGTACGATTTGCTTCCACGAGGAGGGATATACTGAATTATCATTAAATTATCATTTTTTTCGGATAAAATGGTAAAGATAAGATGTATAACAACTAAATGAATGATCATCCGGAAACTATTTTACACAAAAAGAGTCTTTTGATAGCTGCAGTGGCATTTGTCATACTTAAGCGCAAAACCTAAAAAAAAACTATGATAGACAGATGAAACCATAAACTGTAGAAATTATCCGGAATAAAACATCTTCAAAAATGTCTGTTCGACTGAAGAATAAATTGACTTCCCATTAAATGACGGTTTTAGAATATATTTGTGTTTTACTTATTATTATTAATTTTGATTGATGTATTGATTGTTGCTTGCACAGTTTGCTTTACCATTTTGAAAACTAGAAACTTTTGACAGCAAAATTAACTTGGGTACGTTCTGCGTTTTAAGTAACATCATTTACTATTTACCTCCTTTCAAAAGATTTTGAATATGATATACTAGGCAATGATATCTCCTGACCATACTTCAAAATTAGAAATGTTAGATATTTTAAATATAAATCAAATTCGGTTTGATGGAGCCAATTACATGTACATTGGTTAGGGTTATAAACATTCAAACACAATTCTCGAATTTCCTTTGTCCAAAAAATCATAAAACAAGATAGTCCGAGGGAATGGAAAATACAAAAACACCACAAAGAAGCGATCCATTTGACATTTTGTCAAAATTATTTTTTTCTACTGCAATTTTCCTATATCGGACTATATTCACTCAACTTTGGTTTTTTAACGTACAAGGTTGCGCAATTTTTGCTTGTTTTTACAATAGCTGATCCTATTTTGTAAAGTGCAAGCATTATATCATTTTTCACAATTCGTAATACAAATGCAATCGAAAACAGCACCAAACATTCTTGTTTAGTCTCTAAAAACTTTCCATGGTAATTCCTTATCTAATATTTATATTTTACAGCACCAAACATTCTTGTTTAGTCTCTAAAAACTTTCCATGGTAATTCCTTATCTAATATTTATATTTTACAGCACCAAACATTCTTGTTTAGTCTCTAAAAACTTTCCATGGTAATTCCTTAACTAATATTTTATTATATTTTAATGTAATAACATAAAAAAAATGTATGTATTCTTTTTGTTGTTGTTTATGAAAAGAAAGAGAAATGCCCATAAAAGAAAATTCAGTAAATAGGTAAAAATACGTTAACTCTATACAAGAGGCTGTCAGATTGACAGCAAAGCGGATCTTCCTGCATGAAAAAATGATATTTGCAGGTCTAATACTCAAAATTGATAAAAGCTACAACCGTGAAAATCATACAACATTCAAAGTATCACAAGATTTTCATCTAAGCTCTATGTATCACTTTTCGCTATTTACAGGTCTATAACTTATCAATGATAAAAGCTAAAATCGTGAAATTCGAACTTGACCTTCTATTAGTCACAGGAAACAACATATCTAAACTTTAAAATATTTCGTCTAAGCGTTTTCAAGTTATTGCACAGACAACACTCTAAGTATCACTTTTCGCTACTTAAAGGTCTACAACTCAAGTTATTGCACGGACACTGTTTGGCAGCCGCCCGCCGTACATCACCAAATTAATAACCGATAAACCATGATTGTAGTAACAATAGTATACAGAAGAACATACACATAATATACAATACAAAGGAACACATGTTGAGTTAACAGCAAAATACAGCAACATTCATAAGCGCATATCATACAAACTAGAAAAAGACGAAACTTAAACCACAAAGTAGTGAGTAGTTTAGATTTAGGAAACCTAAACGGTTGCCTCAATCTAAACTACTCCCTACTTTGTGATAAATCGATTAAGAAGAAGAAGACAAATCGAGGTAAAAAAAAAAAAACACGGGAATATGACACAATCGGTAACATTACAGATTAAACGACTATTCTAGTATTTACAGATCTAGACTACGAAAACATAACGCCAAGTACGAATATGGAAACAGCTTTTTCGTATTTTCTTTCTGTAGCAAAGTTTATTTTACACGATCAAGGTTTTCTATAAAAAAATCAGTAGTTCACTAATTACCCATATAACGTAATTGAGAGTTCCAATAGAGTTGACAAAAATATCATTATCTCTTGGTTGTTTAATTATTGTGTACTGGCGGATAGTTGTCTCATTGACAATTATACCACATCTTCTTATTTTTTTATTTTGTAATGTCCAAATTAAAAGCGTTTTGATATTTTTCTCCGTTATCTCCTAAAACTTTAATTGTTTCGCTACTTTTGTACTCTTAAGCGTTCTATAGGAGCACTTTCGTTGCTGAGACAAATATGAAGCTGTTTCTGACATTAAGAAATTTTACCAAAGAAGATCTTCTCAACATATATTTATTTTCTTTTTGTTAAACTCAATGATAATTTGACCGAAATAATCATTTCATTGGAGGGAACATGCTCTAAAGGTACAACAATTATTTTCCTTGTTAATTGTTAAGGATGTACACCTCTGAGGAGCCAAAAATTTCTAGAATTAAACTTTTTTTCTTAACCTGATTTTTGGGTTTATATGACAGTAAAAAAATAATTGGTGAAGAAAAAATCATATGGTGGTGCACATCATTTTTTGATACAGCCATTTGAAAGTACCCAATTTTGATGATTTTCCAATTATTCATAAATTTTTACTCATTTTTGGGCTATTATCATGAAAAAAATTACAATTTCACAATTAAATTCTTTTCATACTTTCACTAAAGATGAAGTGGACAAATCTGAATAAATTTAACTTAAAAAACTATGGGTAGGTGTTAATATAAGAAAGTTTTATAAAATTTTGTTGCTTTTTCGTGTCAAATTTACCATGTTGTCAATTTTGTAAATTTGGGATTTTTCTCTTTTTTTAGAACAAAAAGCATATTATTTCAACTACTTTGTTTTAATGATTGAAAATATGCAAATTTCTGTGTCATTTGGTTTCTTGTTGAGAGTTGTCTCATTGGCAATCATACCACATCTTCTTTTTTATATATCTAAGAAATTTGAAAAGAAAAAATTGATATGGGATGTACATGTATCTGGTAGAATCATTTCTTGTACCCCTCACCCATTTTCTCAACATTTTGGCTAATGAGACCGACTTGATTGGTCATAAAATTTGAAAATTTTATTACTCAAAAACTACTTATTGTAAATACACAATTTTTCACAGAGTTAAGTTTGATTATAATATTTTTTTTAAATTCATTGATATTTTCCACTTGTATCACATGTTTCGGAAATAATTCCAGAACGAGATTTCAACGAGACTGAAACGTCAGAAGAATACATCCCGTTTAAAGGAATACATATCGAGTTTATTTGTTCATCTTTACAAACGGATTTTCTGATAAAAACGTCTCTGTCCAACCCTATATGTTTTCTGTTTATTTGTACATCCAAGCAGCCAATGACACTCCATTAGGTTTGCTCTATGCGAGGGCAGAAGAAATACCGGTACATAAGATTACATTGTACTTACCAAAATCACGAAGATTGAACCAAACAGATAATAACGTACATTAAAAAACCTATCTCTGTTTGTGTTAGATTTTTGTCAAGTGAAATAACGTTAGCAACAAAAGAATTGTATTCGCTGTCTGCTTCTGTAGTACTGTTTCACAATTAAAATACCAAAAACGCATAAACACCCTCAAAAAGAAAAATACAAAACAAACTTGGGGTTCAATTGGGCATTTTAGTAAATTTGAAGCTATCAATTGAATGTTATATATACAACATATTTAGCTATGTGCGTGGCAGTAAAGAAGTGCATGTATATTGCTAGTATTATCAAAAGAATTTAATTTACTATAAACTTTGAATTACTTCATATCATTGAACAACAATACACACGAATTGGACGGTAATATATTACAGTTAACATTTGTACATCATGTCAATAGTACATATTTTGTTGTGGTGGTGCAGACGGCTGGGCATACGATTGTTGTTGGTTCTGCATAACAATAGTAGGTGGTTGTGGCATTATGGCGCCATTGGATGTGGGCATGTTGCATCCGACTATAATCAACGTAATTGACACGATTAAAGACAATCCACTTGCCACTGCACACAAATAAAATGACCACCCTGGATTTCCAATGATAGAAAAAAGCTGTACTCCATTGTTGAAAAATCCTTGGAAGAAATACAGATAATACCATAGAAACCCAATCGTTCCAAAGAACCCTGTAACATATAATGAAGAGCATGTGCATTCACGTTTTAAAAAATGTCGCATTTTAATAGTAAAAAAATGTAATATTTTAAGTATTCGAGTAGAATAGCATCTCACCTCAGCTGAACTATTTCCAACCGGGGATACAATTTTAAAGAATAATATTTAACTACGTGCAGCAATATGAAATGATACAATTGCATAACTTTACATGATTATAAACAATAATATGTGTAATGAATTCTTTTTTATATAAAAAAAACATAAACAAAATAGCATTTTTATTGTTTTCAATGCGCTGTTTTTCTTGCGTAATCAGTAAAAAGGGAAGTGACATAATGTCTGCTAAGATGACAGTGAACAGATTTGCTTCGCGTTTACGAAGCTGAAAATTTGGTAAAGGAACGCTAAATAAGAAATTAATTTGTTATCTGGGTGTCTCTAATTCTTCGTCAATTTATCCCTTTCTGCACCCATTGTATAAAAAAATTTAATCAACGTGTGGTTCGTTTGATCTCAGTTCTTCATTGGTTAAAATCCGATTATGACGTCAAATTTACTTGCTTTCCTCTGAATTTCCTATTTTGACGGCATGAAAAAAGGCGACCATGCCTGATGACGTCACATAGAAAGAACACATCTTTTTACAGATCATTCGAAAAGACGGAAAAAGTTTGCCTGCATATTGTTTGAAAATCATTAGAGAAACAGATTCCACCACCAAATCTCGTGTAATACGATATTTATCAACTCTCGACATTTAAATTTTAAATATTTAAAACACTCGGCGAGCCTCGCGTTTTAAATTTGAAAATTTAACTGTCTCGAGTGGATAAATATCGTATCACACTCGATGCAGTGGTAGAATCTATATGTAATCAGGGGTGTACGAAATTAAACTTATATAAAACAATTATATATGTTTAAAATGCGTGCACCCTGCACCTTAGGTAGCAATACACAGTTAGGAGTGTGGTTTCTCATTGTGGTCACGTATTTTATTTCATATATATGAGTTATTGTGCTATAAAATTCAGTTTTAAATAGCTGTAGAATAATGAAGCCTACAAAGTGGGTTTATATATGAACAGCTAGATTGTTTTTTTTTTGTATGTTTCATGGGTATTTTCTGTTTGAGAGTCTGTTTTTTCAAATCCATACCGGCCATAAATCCAGAAATTATTGTTATTATATAAATACTTTTTTATTTTTTTTTTCGCACGAACTTTTCAATGCAATTTTACAAAAAAATGAGACGAAAGGCATATGATTTTTATTGATCTCTTGATAGATACATGTAAATAATTTCAGAAAAGGCATCAGTCCAAAAGGCGATTGAAATTCTGCTTTTGACCATATTTTTAGGGATTTTTTTGGCACCCCTTTTTGCAATATTTTATACAAAATAAATGCAGATTGGATACACCAAAAAATATTTATATTTCCTAATTTTAACTACTGGAAACCAAATTTATGGAAGATACTGATTACAAACATAATTATACACAAATATGATACAAACAATAAGCTCAATTTGTGAGAAAGCAAAGAAAGGAGGATTGTAAAATTTATGAGGGTCAATTTTGATACTTTTCTAACTGCGTATTACTACCTCTGGTTAATGAATTTTCAAAACAAGTATAAAATTCCGTACATCCGCGATTACACATCCATAACTAATAATAATGGTAGAACTTCACAAAAATCGATCTGATATACTGCGTATTTTAGTGAAGTTGAAATTACTTATACAATGTATTTAAAGGCAAAGATATACAATTGAAATCAGATCGATTTGAAATAACTTATTCAATGTATTTAATAACAAAGATATAAAATTGAATTCATATCGATAATAAATCAGATTACAAAAAAACAATGATGCTATGATGAAAATTCAGTACGGTTATGAACAAACATAATCTGTAATTATACCTGCAGTCATTCCTACTCCTCCTAAGTTCTGGACAACAGGTTTACTGTATTCCCGACTACAGCCACAAAATCCAATCAAGCAGGCCACAAGCAGGAGTAAGGCACACACACAAGAACATCCAGCAGTGCCAAGGTAGTGCACTGAAAATTTATTTATTCATAATACCATAAAAGTATTTTTACAGCATGCTTTAACAAATGTTCTCAAGGGATCATTTAATTCATTCAATTACAAGTTAGACCACATTCGTTTATAGAATGTATTGCAGTTGGTTGATCTATAATGATAGGTCTGTGTTTTCAGACGAAATGTTAAGGATCAATTTATATATCATTATCCTTCCATATATTTCCACAAAATTAATGTAAGGCTCGTGTAAGAAGGTGGTTGCTTTAAAATAAATATGCACGTAAATGAGGAAGTATCACAACCAATATTTGGCCATTAAAAATATATAGGCCCCTGTCACCGTAGTATCAAAATGTCATTAGTGTTCTGAATTGGTCCTCAAAGTAACGAGCTATAGCCGACTGTTGAAATTTTTATGCTGGCAATGTTATAACAAATTCAGTTTTTTTTTGTAGGTAATATGTTTCATATAAGGAGATAAGAACAGTGACAGGCGAACATGAAACGGTGGTAATAAAATTTATTATTGCAAGTCAAATATTTGGAAGGTTTAAATCCCGGAGATGACACATCAAACAAAAGTCAACAAACAATTGATAATATTATACAGTATCCAAAATACTCTGTATGTATTGACTTTTTTCTGTATTGACAATCTCTCAAGAGAGTAAAAGATATATATTTCTTGTGTATTGAATTTTTTTAAGACATCGGAAAATTGAAAAGTATATTGAAAAAAGTAGAAGAAAATCGAAAAATGTCATATATTGCATAAAACTGATAAGAATATTATAGATTAAGTATGAACACAGATATCTATTGTTCGCAAATATTTGAAAAAAGAAGATTTCCGCAGTTTCATTTTCAAATTTTATGTTTTAATGAACGCCAATTTAAATCAAAATCAAAATGCCCATTTTATCGCAGTTTTTACACTATATTTCTTTCTTTATTCGCAAATCAAAAATTGCCATATGCCTTCATCATACCATTACATTCGTGTTCAATAAATAACACTCCCAATTGTACCCAGGTGTATAGAAATTATTAAGTTTCTCAGCCTGAGGGGTACAATTACCCCGCAAGGGAAATCTGCTTGACTGTGTGGGAATTATAACTTAGCAGCCTCGTCCATTCTGAATGGGCTTGTTAAATCCGATTCCTCGTGTTGGGAGATTTTCAAGCTCTCTGCATTGTAACAACTTTTTGAAGGGTCTGCAAGTTGTCTGAAGCAGGTCAAAATTAATTGCCTTATCCAACAAACACTCATTTTCCATTTAAGGGCTAAATTCACGATGTTGTGCCGGTCGGCCCACACTGCAGTATATCCCAGTTGTATGTTTTGTTAATTTGTTCTCGTCTTGAATATGTATGAAATATTTGCCACTGGATGCTAAGCAAACAAGTATCAACAGTCAATTAATTAACAACTAGTTGAATGCTGCGTAATATGCTGCACCTTCGAATTCGTCTTTGAGGCTCTCACTGAATGGAATTACTTGTTTGAACATGTTATACGAATTATTCCATATCATATTTTATCGTATTAAGTCCAATTTTGAAAGTACAACGCTATCAAATACAAAACAAATTTAAGGACTAAAGTCTTGCAGATTTGGATCATAATGAAAATAAGAAACTTTGAAAAGGTTAACTTACCGTTGAAAAAATTGTCATCGTGTGCTATATAAGTAACACACACCCCAAATCCACAAACTTTAAATAAACCAGCATGCGACACACCGACGACCATCCAATAATCCGTGGCAATCCCAATTACATCTAAAACTAAACATACCATCATTAAAAAAGTTCCGAAAACAACAGCAGTCGACGTCATGGTCGTGAAGAATTATAGTCTGATTGTGCGTTTCTCTATAATATAACACAGAAGCGATATCTTGGAATAAAAACTTGTCTGTAAACACTGACAATTGGATTAAATCCTACAATACGGATGTAATATATCGCGAAAAGAAAATACACTTGGCCAAATAAAATTAATCACTGAGATAGCGGAGATAAGAACATCGATTTTCGTAGCTGTTTGTCATTTGTGTTTCTCGTGTATTGTTTTTAAACTAAATCAGGCCGTAGGTTTTCTGTTTTGAATTGTTTCACACTTTGTCATGCTCGGGTCTTTTATGGCTGATGGCTTATGGTAGTAGTTTTAACTATTGTTGAAGGTCCTACGATGACCTATAGTTGTTAATATCCTCATTCTTTCGTCCAACTGTTGGATATTATTTCATTGTCTATGATACCACGGCGGCACATCTCCTTATTATTTGTATATTATATCTAATGAGTTGGACGCATCTGCTATAGAAAAACGGGAAACATTTTTAAGCAGTATAATGGGGACATCTCGGTAAAATTTATGAAATTTTTTTAACACAGATACTGACATCTTTTTCATATTCATTTAACATAAAACGTGCGTAAACTTCCATTCTTTTCCTTGGACGGCTTGGATTTTCAAAACAATTAGACACAATGCAATATTAGGTTTCGAGTTAAATTTACTGCGAACCAATCAAATCGCAATTTTTAAAAGAAAAAGAAAATCTTGAATCTGTTAATGATTCAGTTAACGACCAAATGAAAAACTACCAAGGGAAGTAGATGTCATGAAACAGCAAAACAGGACATTAACATGATGTCACAAGAACCGTTCCTAAAAAAGTTTTCAAGTCTTCAAATTTCATTTAACCAGCGGTTCATTCTTTTATATCTGCTCAAGTGTAAAGTCTGTCAAAGGTTATCTTTATCTCTGTAAGTTTGTATAAATGTCAACAATCGTTTTGTTCTCTTCTGCAGAAATTTCATTTATTATGGTTCTTTGCCATGTTATAATGATCATAATTTGAAGCACAGTATGCTTCCTGGTCTATAGCTATGTAATCACAGATTCTAACATAGCTCATAGACCAATGACTTCGTTACAAAAAACTTGGATGAAAGAATAACATTTTTTTTATTTAATGGATTTGAAATATTTGCATAACTGATTTTCTGAAAACAGTACAGAAAATTCAAATAATGTTTTTTTTTCTTTGTCTGAAGCAGCAATAAACTACAGTTAACTTATTACATCTAACGGATCTTTTGAGTTAAGCCAATTTCACAGTTTGTTCTTATGTTAAACCACTGTCCCAGGTTAGGGGAGGGTTGTGCTCTCACAAACCTTGTTAAACCAGTCACATTCTTTATGTCCCTGTCCCCAAGTCAGGAGCCTTTAGTTCAGTGGTTGTCGTTGGTTCATGTCCGTCATATTTGTAAATTGGTTTGTTATAAATTAGGCCGTTGTTATCTCGTTTGAATTGTTTCACATTTTTCATGTCGGGGCATTTTTATAGCCGACAAACGGTATGGGTTTTTCTCATTGTCGAAGACCGTACGGTTGCCTATAGTTTCTTACATCCACTTCATTATTACTGTTCTATACACTATCTATTTCAGAAACATGCTACTGAATAACACGTGGATTAGTGAAATTAGTCAATCTGTTCCATTGTTTTAGATTAGACGGACCAGTACGATTATCAATTGGCTTTAGAATAGAAACAACTGTAAATCATTCAAAGACTTATAATCATAAGGTAAAGTTTTTTAAGTGTGCATATTTAATTCGGGAATAAAAGAAAACTAAAAGACATCAGAGAACCGTCTCAGTGTGTATATGTTACAGTGAATTTGAAGAATTAGGGATTATGTATAATCCCTGAAATTTGCATGGATTATGTATAATCATTGGTAACTTTAGTGATTATATATAATTACTAAACTTTTCAGTAATTATACATAATCACTAGAAAAAATGTCAGGGATTATACATAATAACTGGAATGAAGAGACAATGGATAAAAGTAAAATAATTCATTTTTATAAAATCATATTTTAACATCTTTAGAAACATGAATATCAAAATCTTAAGCACAAGATTAAATACAAATGATTACGTTTTGCACACTAGTAAATTTAGATGACATCTACTATGAGGGTCCCTCGTTTTTTTTATTTTTTCATTTTTTACATCATTTTTCTAAAAACTGTATATTTTAGCACACTATTATTATCGATTCTTATTTTTTGTCTATTTTTGTATATTCTTTTTTTTAGCCCTTTATTTTGCAATATTTGCGCATTATTCTCTATTTTGTAAACCCCAACCAGACCCTATACTATTGAACATCTGCTCTTCTTATCCCTTCTTTTTTTTAACCTCTAAAAAAACCCTTAGCCTTCACATATTGAATCTGATTTTACTGCACTTTGAAGAGAAATGAAGTGTTCATTAAAAACGTCTGAAGGTGCTAAATAGGTCAATCAGACACCTGAAATTGATTCCTTCAGTATTATCTGAGCATAATTTCATGTTTCGTAGTCATGCATTATCCTTTTCAGCCCTTTTATGGCCATTATGTTTTTCCCCAATCAACATGCGGAATCTGTATCACAGCCTCCTCCAAATTTTGTTCTGTATGTCTTTCTGGGCGTTTAGTTGCATTTCTTTGCTTGGTTTGAATTCCTTGTTCGTAAACTTTTATCTCCTATGTTTTACAGCAAATTACATGATCTGTGCATTTATTTTGGTATTATTAATTTCAATTTAAAATATTTATTTGTTTATGAGTAAATGTGATTTAACATGCACAGGTAAGTAGAATATCACCAGAAAAAAAATGTTCACTTTAATGAGATTTGATAAATGGACAGAGAATGCAAACTTTCCACTTAAACCATAAAGAGGTTATGTCTGTAGTTGATTTATTTTTACCAAAACAGTGAATCTTTGTATTACATGTATTATTGATAATCCCTGAAAACATTCCAGGGAATTTGTAAAATAATTCTTAAAATCTTTAGTGATTATGAGAAATTACTGGTCATTTTCATGGATTATATATAATCACTAATGATTTTAGTGATTATACAGAATCCCTGAAAAAAACAGGGATTCTACATAATCCCTGATTATACAAATTCACACACCAATCAAGTCTCAAGTGTGTACACTACAACCAACCATGCATATGTTTTCACTCTCCGTACTTTGTAACCTTTCATATTATGTCACGACTGTATATATATATATATCATTTTCTGATTTCAGTGTTGGCTGTCGTTAATATATGTTTAATTTGCACTTAGAACGCTACGAACTGAAAGGAATAAAAGATGATGTTTAGTTGTATTCAAAATTTTCTTACATTTGTGGAAAAATTTGAATAAAATTTAAAACTCAATTTGAAAGAAAACTTAAGTGAGAAAGACTTTACATGGTACAAATGTCCTGTTACAATTTCTATTATTTTTTGTTTTATTCTAAAAGGATACGTAGATTTTCGCCAACCTTCATCTGAAACTACTTATAACGGGTGTTTGCTTTTATAAATTCAAACTTCATACCTAATCATGTTTATGAGGTTACGTAGCCATATATTTTACCTTTTAACGACAAATCTGGAATACATTTCTCATTTTATGAAAATATTTTACAGTAAAAGGATTTTAATGGTACCAATAAAAGTTATCTTTATGCAAAATGTAAAATATACTGAAACTAAATTTAACTTTGACATTAAATGAATTCTCATTTTATAGTAAAACGAACAAAATTGATAAACAAATTATATCCGAATCATTTGCACTTTGAGTATAAATCATCTAGGTGATTTATTGTGAACTATACAAACTTTTCCCAAATATGTATTTATACAAGGGTACACAGAGTCTACCAAATATGTGACGGGCTTTTTTCAATCTTTTACAATAAAAGAATATATGGGGCAAATGTCCATGAAAGAGGAACCAAACGACACAAGCCATTAAATGAATGTTGTCTTTTAAGATAATTTTTTTTTACTCATGATTTCTTGAAAAAAGGATTGTTTCATAACAGAAGTGAAAAACAATTGTTTGTTCCCATTAAAAAAAATCGAGTTTCAAGTGTTCTTGTTTTTTATTGCAATTGAAAATATAATATATATTATGTTTCCCCCGAGAATAGAAATCCCATACCCCCCCAAAAAAAAATTATAGATGAATTGTCGGTGAATTATCAAATGCGTCTTTGCTTATATTTTAGTGTGTTTTTTTAAGAATTTGAAATTGATGGCAGATTTTTAGTAGTCCCTATTAAGTTAATTCATTTCTTCAAAATTTGTCCATATACGGGTCGATCTATAGCTTGACAAGTAGTATATTATACTTGTCTATAATTGATATTATGTAACTATGGGTGTTTACCACTTTTGAATGACTGTTCTGGTTTTACTATTATATCATATTTTACATATGCACAAAATAACTCTTTATTCACATTGTTGTTTTATTTTTTCATATAGAATTGATTTTAGTATAAGAAGATGGCAAATGTATGACGCTATTTTACTTTTCAAAATATTTTTTCATGAAAGATAGATAGATAATTTATTTTATTAAAGTGTCACCATCCATTGATGTGTTTGAGCTTTTGATTTTGCCATTTGATACAGGACTTTCCGTCTTGAAGATTTCTGTATTTTTGTTATTTTACTTTTTACAGTATCTCTCTCTCTATATATATATATAAACATACAAAACTGAGTTTTACTGTGCGTATTGCTGTGTGTTTGTTTTTTCTACATTGGCTAGAAGTTTATGGGGGAGGGTTGAGATCTCACAAAACATGTTTAACCCCGCCGCATTTTTGCGTCTGACCCAAGTCAGGAACCTCTGGCCTTTGTTAATCTTGTATGTTTTTTTAAATTTAGTTCATTTATATGTTTCGGGGTTTAGTTTGACGTCCATTTTCACTGAACTAGTACACATTTTTGTTTAGGGGCCAGCTGAAGCCCGCCTCCGAGTGCGGGATTTTCTCGCTGTGTTGAAGACCCATTGGTGGCCTTGGGCTGTTTTCTGCACATTGGTCGGGTTGTTGTCTCTTTGAC